TCATAGTTTTATAAAAGTTTCATTAAAATGTGAAGTGTAGCAATAAACAAAGGACTGAGTCATTTGTTTTGTATAGGAAGTATTAATGAAGAAGGGGATTCACATAACCAACAGCGCACCTCAAATTATCAGATAAGAGAATGGTTGTTTTTTAAAAAAAAAACAAAAACAAACTATTTCTGGATTTCAGCCTCTCCCCCAATCTTAGACATTTTGTTGTGTATTTCTTCCAGTAGATACTTGAGGTGGTTTCAGACTAGTCCAGGAAGTTGTAGGTCTTAGCCACATCCCTTTGATTTTTTATTTATTTTTTTTTTTTACCACCAGATTCTTTGCTGGTGGTGTTGCAAGCAGAGCAGCAATTCGGTACTTCTATCTTATCCATTGCAATTGTAGCATTTAAATCTGTTTTGGGGGCAGCAGCTAGCAAAATCTTTCCCCCAAAATCATTCTTCTCTCCCCCAAAAGGGATCAGAGTTTCACTGGCATTCCTCCCCAAAGTGGGCTTCTTTGTACTTGCTCTCTCATCTTTCTTTTGGTGGAGCAGGCTAAATGAGGCAAGCAGAAAGCCAAGAAGTGTTTGTTCATTAAGGAGATGTTTGCAGGGAATCTTTGTGACTTGCCTTTTCTTCCCGGGAGGAAGATCTGGGCTCTCTCAGGGTTGTGTTATGCCCTCTTTCAATTATTCTCTTTTCATCCTCCCTAAAGGTGATGCAGCAGTGGCATCCATGGCAAAGGGCATGATATTCCTACCAGGGGAATTGATCCCAAAATACACTGTACACAGAAAGAGGAACTTTGAAGCTTCTTCAGCAGCCTTTAGAGCCCTCATTGGCAAGTGCATTCTTTTCTAGGCCATAATGTCCAGTTGTGGCAACCTAAAAAACCTTCACTCTCACACATTCACACTCATATACACACCGAAGCATGACAAATTTAAGTCCATGAAATATCCCTAGTTAATGTGCTGTGGTAGTCATCCATGGATTCCATGATGCTGCCAGTGAGAGCCATAGCAATTGAGTGGCCAGGCTCCAATTCTGGCTTGAAATCCTGGAAAATAGTGACTTTTCAAAGAAAATCCTCAATCCACACTCCAAAATATTGACTATGGATGGTAGTCCTTGAGATTGGAGGAACACTCTTAGGTCACTGCAATACACTGTGCTGTTTACTGCTCTGTAAAATGGAGATCCAAAACTTCTGTGAGGTAAATAGTAAGTATTAATTAGCTAATGTTCATGAAGTGCATCACAGATTGTCAAGCACCTTATAGCATCCCAGCTGGCTAGTGTGGCTTTGTTGAGCCCTTAATTCGGGTTCTCCTAAAAAAGTCCACACAGGCCAGATATTCAAAACATTCCTTTCTGGTGTCCAGTTTATTAAGTCCTGAACAAAGTCTTTCAGAACACATCTTAAACTTAGGAAGTCTTCATCCCTGTTTCAGCTTGGCCCAGCCCCTCCTCCTTGAGGGTCTGTCCTCTCTTTAAAAGTTATTTTCTTTCACCCCAGTCCCAAGTTGGGGACAGCTTCTCCTCCCTGGGGGGGTCTGTCTTCCTGCTTTCTTAGCGGCACCTTTTGCCTGGAGTTTGGCCTTCTCCACAGGCCTTTCTTTCCCTTGCTGACTCTGGGCCCTGCAGGAACCTTCTTGCTCCCTGAAATGTCTGTGAGCATCTGCTAACAACCTGCAGCTGTCTCCCCTTTTATAAAGCCCAGGTGCCTTCTCTTAAGCCCTATTGGGCAGCAGGTAATTAATCTATGTGCACTGGACCCCACCCACTCTTAGAGGAGCCAGTCACCGTGTGAGAGACATGAATAATGCAATATAAACACCAGTATTGTCATTTATCAATCTTTGACTAACAGACCTGGCTAGGGTTACCATATGTCCGGGTTTCCCCGGACATGTCCGGCTTTTGGGTCTTTAAATAGCTGTCCGGGGGGAATTTGTAAAAAGCTAAAAATGTCCGGGATTTCCCCCGGACGGCTATTTAAAGACCCAAAAGGAGGACAGGGCAGCCGCGCTGGGGGAACCGCGGCAAGCCAGCGCCGCCGGCGCCACTCACCTTCCCTCCCTAGGCCCTGGGGCAGCGCGCAGTGAGCTCCCGGCGCGGCGGAGCCAGCCCACGGGGCCCCCCTACCCGCCAGCAGGAGCCTGCAGAGCACAGCCCTGCCCCCGCCCCCGGCACACAGAGAGGCAGGGAGATCTCACTCCCCTGCGTGCTGCAGCGGGGCGGGGCCTGTAGACTCCGGCAGCAGGCAGCGGCCGCCAGGCAGAGAGCCCCCCCCACCTCTGACCCCTCCCCTCGACCTGACCCTAGGAAGGGGCCAGAGGGATTGGGAGGGACCTGCCTGCTGCATGCTTCCTGAGAGCCGCTCTAGGTAAGCACTGCTGGGCTCACCTGGCCCCCTGGCAGGTCCCTCTGGGGGGGCTCCCCTCAGACCCACTGCCCTCAGGCCCCACCCTGACCCTGTTCCCTCAGCCTCCCCCGCAGTGTCCCCCTTGTGCCCCCCACTCTCAATCCACTGCCCTCAGCCCCCCTGACCCTCTTCCCTCTGCCTCCCCCACAGTCCCTCCCCCCGATCATTTCACCCGACCCACTGCCCTCAGCCCCCACCCTGACCCTGTTCCCCCTGTACCTCCCACCCCGAACCCACTGCCCTCAGTCCCTGCCCCCATTCCAACAGCCTCCCCCACAGTCCCCCTGCTCCCCGCAACCCACTGCCCTCAGCCTTGCCCTACCCCAAATCTCTTCTTCAGCCTCCCCCGTCATCCCACCCCCATCGCTCCCCCTGCTGTCCCACCCCCTCAACTTCCCCCCATTCCAGTCCTGCTCCCCTCTGTATCATCCCTTCCAGACCCTGTCCCTCTCCCCAACCTTCCCCAGCTAGGGTTACCATACGTCCGGATTTTCCCGGACATGTCCGGCTTTTTGGGATTCAAATCCCCGTCCGGGGGGAAATCCCAAAAAGCCGAACATGTCCGGGAAAATCCGGGCCGCTGGGCCGGGGGCTGGCCCGGGGCGCTGGGTGGCCGGGGGCCGGGCCCGGCCGCCGGAGGGGGCCAGACTGGGCCGCGCCTCCTCCCTCCCGCTCCCCCCCGCTTACCTGCTGCCTGCTTCCTGCTTCAGGCTTCCCGCGAATCAAATGTTCGCGGGAAGCAGGGGAGGGGGCGGAGTTGGGGCGGGGACTTTGGGGGAGGGGCGGAGTTGGGGCGGGGGCGGGGCGGGGGCGGGGCCCCGTGGAGTGTCCTCTTTTTGAACACTCCAAATATGGTAACCCTAGACCTGGCAAATAGTCCTCTCTATTGGTACAGTTGTCTATCCATTGTCTTTTTCCCTCCACAGCATATCATATCCAAATGTAGCAAATAACCTAATACACTGGCAAACTTGTAAGATCTTGTGAGCATGGAGTGAGCTGTGCCCCCATCCCCAATTCACAAACTTGTCTGGATATTGTTTTAACATTTTTTAACTACAAACATCGGCCTTTTAGATTTTGTAGAAAGCTGCTGCTTTCTCCCAAATTTCAGGAGAAAACTTGTAAGCAGGGGGAGGTGGGAACTTTATAAGGCAAAGGTTTATGCATTTTTTTAAGTCTGTAGACTGATGATATTAATGAGTTAGTACCCAGGTTTTGTTCTCCTTGTTGTCTTATCACAACCTCACAGTATCATGTGTCTTTTTGAAGGATAGCAAATGTCTAATTCAGTTTATTTCTGTATCTTGTTTGTTATTGTACCATTGGTTTATAGAAGTTATTGTTTTAGAACAGTAATGAAAAATGTATTGATTAGGAAATTAGTGTAACCTTAAATTTGAACAAAAAGTTCCTAAACCTTAAGAGAATCATTTGATTCATAAAGTCATTGATATATTGATACAAGGGTGGAGGCTAATTTTCTTCATTTATGTAGTATTTCAGTTACATTTTTTTATTAAAGGAAATACTTCAAGTTGGGCTGGACATTATCGAGCATTACAATATTTTTATTAATTGGCTTGGAAAATATCAACAATACTTTCTACTCCAGGACCAGGCTTCTTCACTCTCCCTTTAATCCTTAAATCACTTTAGTACAAATGACCTCTGCTCCAGGGATAAAGTGAAACAAGTTGTCTTTCAGAGGGGTGGTTAGTAGTGTGTAGATTTAAAGTATCCACCAATTGTTAGCTTCTTTTTATTATAGTCGCTTTTCAAGAGGTATGAAGTTATAAATATTTAAGTAGGAGAGATTACAGATGAAATATGATGTACAGACTTTCTTTATATGGGATAAGCTGTTAATGGCTTTTTCTTTTACAGCAATCAGCAGGCATTTTTATTAGAGAATGTCCCATGCAACAATGCAAGCTGCAGGAGCGTACATCGTATGTTTAAAGTCTACTGGGAACTCTCTGATCTAAATCAAATCAAAGATGCTGTGGTGGCAACCTTCTTTGACATTTATGAAGATGTGAGTTCAGCACACTTCACTGTATTTCTGCTTTTAATTGCTATCTGCCCATTCCTATTTGAGCTTTCATTCTAAAGTACTACTACTTAATATTTGACTAGAAAATCTAAAAAGCTAATGAAAGCTAATGAGTTAATTAAAAAAAGTCCTTTAAAGTTGAAGGGTAAGCAATAGAATTTATGAAAGAACTGCCCGGTTGATACACTAAGTAATACAAATACCTTGTATAGATTCATGTTTGTTAACTTTTTGGCATAATTTTTTTACATTTATACTAAAAAGGGGGTTCAGTGGCCCTTTGCTATTCAGGCTGCTCATTTTATGACTAATTAACCAAAATACCCAAAGATTTACAACTTTGTTGATTGAAAAATAATTTATTGCTGCATTAATGGAATTTCCCAATTAATATTAAATCTTAGAGCAAGTAAACTCATTGCAGCATTGTACCCCAACTACAACCACCAGAATTACTCTATCCAACCCCTAGTGACTCTTGTTTTAATCCTTCTGTGTGCATTTCAAGAAGCACTCCAATCCCTTTCCTCCCCCTGACTATTACCTTTGAGAAGCTCCAAATCCAGTCACCCAAACCATCATACTAAACTACCCCCTACATAAAACATACAGTGATACAAAACACATGATCCCCATCTCAATGCCAGGCCTTCCCTAAATTCTATTTCCTTGTCAGACTTCTAAACCTTCAGTTATCTCCATGCCCTGATTATCTCTGAGTCCCAAAACTAACCCCAGGCTATCTTTTGGTATATTCTCCATCTGGCCCCTAAATAACTGCCCATTCCATCTTTCCTAGACCACAGACCTTCTTGGAAGTAAGATAGGATTCCAAGGGCTATAGGTGATGGTCAATTTTTGCTGTCCTCTGAGTTTTGGAAAATACTTTCATTTTACCTAATAATTTAGATTGAAATAAGTACTTTAAAATATCATTGAGTGTAAAGCTGATAACTACTTAGCACAGCCATGTTTTATGTTAAGAATAAATAAAAGTGATATAATTCCCATTAAACATAATGAAGGATTCAATCGCATTGCACAGTACATGGCACTTTGTACATAATGTTGTCTGCTGACTAAAGCAGTACAAAATTAGATAAGAAAATCCAAAACCTGACACAAATTTAGGTCAAACCTGAAACTTTAGCTCAGTTTGCAAACTTAGCAAGTATTGACCTGTGCCCAATTTCAGGTAATTAGGAGTCATATTTGATTTTGATTGCAAAGCAATGAAAATCCAGCTGTTTCACATACAAATTTTGGTATTAAACTCCTAATGTTCAGTGTCACTTGTAATAAAAGATCTGATTTTTAAAAAGGTGTGTCCCCAATTACTTGGGGAATGGCCTGTTAGGTGCGTAACTGGCCATATGTGCATGGAGTACATGATTTGCATATGCAGTCAAGGTACACGTTTTTGCGCTTTGTGAGAACTCGTTTTTGAAAATCTAGGTTTCTGATATAAACTTCACAATCTGCCCTAAACAAGGTAATTTGTAATTTACCCTTATTTGGTAGCTAGAGTAGTAAGAGGGAGTAAAACCCTTGCCCCTGTGTGGCTCTATTAGGTCTCCCCACATCATGACTCAGTCACAGGAGGTGAGGTGGGGCTCTATGCCTGATACTCTCCCCAGGGAGTAGGCAGAGTGTAGATCTCTCTCCCACCTCCATCTGCTTGTCAGCAGTGCAATAAGTTTCAGAACTTTAGTAAATTATTTCCTCCTTTTCCTGTCCCTGACCTCCCAAGATAAAAGTTGTGCACAGGGAACATGGAAGTAACTGTAAAATTCCTTACCTGGTCTTCTCCTGGGGTGATGCACCTTACACAGGGTTGAGCCTTAGACACAGTCAAGCCCTAGAAAACAAAATCTGTTTCAATCAGAGACACCTGTGTGTAAATTGTCTGTAATTGATTAAAAAAATTTAAAGTGACACTTCCATTGTTACTGTACCTAAAAATAGAGTACTTCAAAACTGACTTGTAAGTCTTAAATTCATGATTTCATAGGACACCGTTTTTTAAATTAGATTTTTCTTAAAAAGCTATGTTCATAAATAACTCTTGACAAGTTCTGAATAAGTCCACGTAATTGGAGGGCATTTTATCTCCTCAAGGCAGTTATGTCTGATTCCCAACTGTTACTCTTTGCTGTGTCCAAAACATAGACGAAAATGGTTTTTGTATCTTTATCTTCCTTTTCTTTTTAAGTAACTCGCTTGGGGATATTTAGTTACATTAATATATACAAAAATGAAACAACAAATTATGCAAGAAAATCATGGAAGGGAAACCAAAGCAAATACTCAGAGGAGTTAACCTTGCTACCTTTGAAAGCCATTCTTTCAAAATTATTTGGACATCTGCTAATTTGGCTCCACAGCAGTCACTGAGCCAATACACTTCCTTTCAGACAAGATCCGCTGGGGTAAAACTATGTTATGGTTTTGAGTCATTCTAATCTCCAATTTCACTCCTTAGAGAGCTTCGAGCAGAAGGCAGAGATTCATAGATTCATAGATTCATAGATTCTAGGACTGGAAGGGACCTCGAGAGGTCATCGAGTCCAGTCCCCTGCCCGCATGGCAGGACCAAATACTGTCTAGACCAACCCCGATAGACATTTATCTAACCTACTCTTAAATATCTCCAGAGATGGAGATTCCACAACCTCCCTAGGCAATTTATTCCAGTGTTTAACCACCCTGACAGTTAGGAACTTTTTCCTAATGTCCAACCTAGACCTCCCTTGCTGCAGTTTAAGCCCATTGCTTCTTGTTCTATCCTCAGAGGCTAAGGTGAACAAGTTTTCTCCCTCCTCCTTATGACTCCCTTTTAGATACCTGAAAACTGCTATCATGTCCCCTCTCAGTCTTCTCTTTTCCAAACTAAACAAACCCAATTCTTTCAGCCTTCCTTCATAGGTCATGTTCTCAAGACCTTTAATCATTCTTGTTGCTCTTCTCTGGACCCTTTCCAATTTCTCCACATCTTTCTTGAAATGCGGTGCCCAGAACTGGACACAATACTCCAGCTGAGGCCTAACCAGAGCAGAGTAGAGCGGAAGAATGACTTCTCGTGTCTTGCTCACAACACACCTGTTAATACATCCCAGAATCACGTTTGCTTTTTTTGCAACAGCATCACACTGTTGACTCATATTTAGCTTGTGGTCCACTATAACCCCTAGATCCCTTTCTGCCGTACTCCTTCCTAGACAGTCTCTTCCCATTCTGTATGTGTGAAACTGATTTTTTCTTCCTAAGTGGAGCACTTTGCATTTGTCTTTGTTAAACTTCATCCTGTTTAACTCAGACCATTTCTCCAATTTGTCCAGATCATTTTGAATTATGACCCTGTCCTCCAAAGCAGTTGCAATCCCTCCCAGTTTGGTATCATCCGCAAACTTAATAATCGTACTTTCTATACCAATATCTAAGTCGTTAATGAAGATATTGAACAGAGCCGGTCCCAAAACAGACCCCTGCGGAACCCCACTCGTTATGCCTTTCCAGCAGGATTGGGAACCATTAATAACAACTCTCTGAGTACGGTTATCCAGCCAGTTATGCACCCACCTTATAGTAGCCCCATCTAAATTGTATTTGCCTAGTTTGTCGATAAGAATATCATGCGAGACCGTATCAAATGCCTTACTAAAGTCTAGGTATACCACATCCACAGCTTCTCCCTTATCCACAAGACTCGTTATCCTATCGAAGAAAGCTATCAGATTGGTTTGACATGATTTGTTCTTTACAAATCCATGCTGGCTGTTCCCTATCACCTTACCACCTTCCAAGTGTTTGCAGATGATTTCCTTAATTACTTGCTCCATTATCTTCCCTGGCACAGAAGTTAAACTAACTGGTCTGTAGTTTCCTGGGTTGTTTTTATTTCCCTTTTTATAGATGGGCACTATATTCGCCCTTTTCCAGTCTTCTGGAATCTCTCCCGTCTCCCATGATTTTCCAAAGATAATAGCTAGAGGCTCAGATACCTCCTCTATTAGCTCCTTGAGTATTCTAGGATGCATTTCATCAGGCCCTGGTGACTTGCAGGCATCTAACTTTTCTAAGAGATTTTTAACTTGTTCTTTTTTTATTTTATCTGCTAAACCTACCCCCTTCCCATTAGCATTCACTAGGTTAGGCATTCCTTCAGACTTCTCGGTGAAGACCTTGATCACCGTCCCTTGTTCAAGTCAAGTGTCAGCTGCTGGTAATTCACCCAGCCAGCCTCTCAACTCAAAAGTAAAATTGTCCGCTGTAGAGTTGACATGGTGACATAGTGTTTGGTGCTTATAGACAGAGCAGTTTCATGAGTATCTGACCAGCACCTGTGCTTTGAAAGTTGCATAGGTAGTAAACCAGTTAAATTAATTCCCCACACAAAATTGGGTGTTTTATTTTTTCTTTAATTTTTTGATGTGTCCTTGCAAAGATTAGTTTAACAGAAACATTACTAGAATCAGGTATTCTTCAGGTAGATATGTTTTCAAGCTACACTGATTGTATCAGCTGTAAAAAATAAATAAATAAAATCCTTGGTTACATGTTTGTTTATATATAGCAGATATTTAAAAACTCAACATTTGTCAACTGATACTATAGTTATTCCAGGTATTTCAGATATTTTTTAATAGTAACCACTTTATATGCAAATAGTTAAAACACCTCAACTTAAGTTGAGAACAGAGTTTGCTCATACGCAAACAGAATTTGGAAGAACATCCCTTTGCTGTTCTACAACCATTGAGCTCCAGAGGGAGTCATTTTCAGCTGTCCAAGGTGCACATGGCTTTGCGGAATGGGTATGTCAAGGGGAAAAGTTGTTTTGAACTGTAAAAGGGGTTTTATGGTCTCATTTGCCCCTCTCCTCTGACTTGGGATGAGAGGTTGGAGAAGAAAACTGATTCCATTATGTTACATGTAATTATTTAATCTAGATAATTTAGAATCTTAATATGAAATCAAAGTTATTTGGTGTCTTTTAAATCTCACGAAGCACATAAGTTGAGAAATATTTTCTCTCTTTAAGAGGATTTATGTTTACTGTATTTAGATGTTATTTAGCTTGCTAGTTTATTCTAAACTTTTGATCTTTTCCTCCCAGGGAATCTTGGATATCATTGTACTAAGCAAAGGCTATTTCAACAGTGAATTTGCCATCCACACATTAAAGAATAACTTTGAAGCAGATGCTTATTTTGTTAAAGTTATTGGTAAGTGATCACCATAAAATCATATAAAAATGGGATTTCATGAAAGCAGTGAATACTTTAACTATTATACTAAGTGTGAAAATGCGAGAAAAGAAAAGCATAGTTGTATTAGTGTATCAAAAGTACCGTATATACTCGTTCATAAGCCAAATTTTTTAGTAAAAAAGGGAAGTACCAAAGAAGGGGGTCGGCTTATGAACGGGTATAGAGAGGGAGAGGTGGGACACAGCCCCTCCCCGCAACAGAGGGAGCAAGGAGAGGTAGCACAGCCAGCAGAGCCAGAAGGGAAGAGGCAGGGCCAGAGTCTCTCCGCTTCTGGCCACGCTGCTCTCCCCCCCAGCCTCTGAAGCAGCTGCAGCTCCGGGGCTGGCAGGCTGCAGCTGTGCCGCTCAGACCCGCCCCCCAGAGCAGGCTGTGGCCGCACCGCCCAGTCTGACCCGCCGGAGCAGGCTGCGGCCGCACTACCCAGCCCGCCGGAGCAGCTCCAGCTAGGCCAGAGACCTCTTCCCCGGCCCTCCCCAGATAAGGTGGGAAGGGATGGGATGGGGAGAGTGTGGGGGTCCCGGGCTATGGGTGGGGTCATGTGGGGGGTGGTCACAGGGGTTACTCCTCTGACCTCCAGCTTCTCCCCCCCTCAAAAAAAATTTCCCCACCAGTTGCTGTCCTGGCCCGTCAAGGTAAGCAGCTGGTGCGCCAGGACACTTAGTTTACTTAGGTTTACCTTCGTGCCTGCAGACACTCGAGGTAAACAAACCATCTCGGCCCGCCAGCAGCTTAGCCTGATGGCCCGGGAGCCAAAGTTTGCTGACCCCTAAATTATAGAGAGTCGGCTTATGAACGGGTCATAAAAATTTTCCATTTTTACTTATCCATCTTGTGGGAGTTGGCGTATAAACAAACCGGCTTATGATCGAGTATATACGGTAAGTCTTAAAAATGGAGGGGGCTATTGCAGATGAAGTATTCTAAATATTATACAGAACTCTGACAGGTTATTTATCCTTTGTATCCTGTTTTTCTATTTTAATTCTATTATCTGCATTTAAAAGGACACTATCAAGTGTTTTAAACACAAATTTTGACCAACTGTATTTTAAAATAATATTTGCAATACACTCCAAGTCAGACAGTCTTCACAGTGGGGCATTCCCCATGTCCATGGCATATCACATCTTCACTCTGAGCCTGTGCTTAGGCTTGCCCCTTAGAAGGAACTCTCCAGAATTCTCTTGCGCCAAGTGGCACACGCAGCAGACTCTATCTTTTCCTTTATAGCAGAATTTTCACAGAACTTTTAAGATTCTTAATTAAATTTTTCTGCTTCTTTGTTAGCTTCAAAAGTTTTTTCAGAACTGCTAAACTCAAAAACTTTTGACTTTCTAAGGAGAATTTGAAGGACAGCATTGCTTGTTTCTTCCTTTTCCCCCACTCAAAAATTGCAGACAGAGACAGCAGGCTGCAGGAACTCAACTCCCAGTTGGCTTGTGGGCAGGGTCCATACCAGGACAATTGATCAAGCTGAAGTTAAACTTGACTCCCACCAGCACACGAGCAAGGTCCATGCAGAGACAGTTGAGCAGGCTGCAGCAAATTTGGGCCCCCAGCTGGCCTGTGGGTATGGTCCACACTGAGACAGTTGAAGAGGCTGTAGAGAAACTGGCTCCCAACGATCATACAGCTGAAGTCCGTGCTGAGACAGTTGAGCAGGCACTTGGAAGCTTCCCACCCTGACACCAGGCCAGAATCAGTGACTTGTGAAACCCAAAAACAAGAGGAGCTTTTGGTTTTGGATGGTTTTCCAGAGAAACTTGGATACGTCATCCTCAGCCCTGAGAGTATTGACTGCATTTCTTATTGTGGAAGTCTGTTCTCCACTGGGAATCCATTGTGAGTTGATGCACAAAAATCACAAAAGAAACAAAAACCCACCTATGGAAAATCTACTTGAAACTAGATTTCCCTAGCATTTTGTCTAGAACTGATGCTTCACCTGATTCTGATTTGCTGTACATTCCAAACTTCCAAAGACATGTCTGGAGAACAACTAAGGGTCCACCTAAAGAAGCTGGAATTGCAGGTTAAACATTGATATCGTTAGAAATATTTTGTTGGTAAGCTCTTTGGGAAGCAGAGAGACATAGCAGTTGCTAAGGCTGTAAACGCAGGAATATGGCACTTCCTCCTTCCAGCTTGTGTCGTGTTCGAAGCGGCTGCTTTTCCAGGGTCCAGCATAGAGATTACACATTAGGAGTGGGCCATTGTTGCCGTTCTTAAGAATTGGAAAACCAAGGCTGGGATTTTCTGGAAAATCATCCTTAAAATGAGGTGGGGGAAAGGAAATGCAAAGATTGTAGTGCCCATGGTATGATGATTAATTTTGTTTAAATTTGGACAGTATTTAAAAGAAAGTGGAGGCGGGCTACAAGACTAGCTTAGAGTCTAAGGTCCAAGAGATAAATATATTTCACTGCTCTGAATATACATTCATAGTAGTAAATATTTTATATTAGGGATGCATAGTACTGTAAAAATTTTAAGGGAAGATAGAAAAAAAATCTGTATTGAGCACTACATTAGCTAAGTTTAATGGAATGATAACTTTTTAAAACACCACAGGTGCTGTGTGCTTTACCTCTGCATTAGTCTTTACACTGGGGCCTGGTCTACACTAGAAGGGGGGAATCGATCTAAGATACGCAACTTCAGCTACGAGAATAGCGTAGCTGAAGTCGACGTACACCTCTACCCCGATATTACGCGACCCGATATAACACTAATTCAGATATAACGCGGTAAAGCAGTGCTCCGGCGGGGTGGGGCTGCGCACTCCGGCAGATCAAAGCAAGTTCGATATAACGCGGTTTCACTTATAACACAGTAAGATTTTTTGGCTCCCGAGGACAGTGTTATATCGGGATAGAGGTGTATCTTAGATAGACTAAGAATCACTTACTTCACGTCCTCGCGGCGCGGGATCAACGGCCGCTGCTCCCCTGTCAACTCCGCTTCTGCCTCTCACCGTGGTGGAGTTCCGGAGTCGACGGCAGAGTGATTGGGGATCGATTTATCGCGTCTACATTAGACGCGATAAATCGATCCCCTATAGATTGATCACTACCTGCCGATCTGGCGGGTAGTGTAGATGTACCCTGGGAATTCCAGTTTGGGAAGGATTCTCCCAGCAGCACAAACTGAAGAAGACCGTCATAAGGCTGCATTCCAAGGACCCTTTCACAAGCCCTGGTGAAGGCTTAAACAAGAGCTTGTCATCGTATTAGACTGAATGAAAGTTCAGAAAACAATATTCTGCTGTCTCTGGTCTACAGTTAGACTAACTGATAGCTATGACTCAGGAAAAACTTAGATTTCTGTGTTGCATACATTTTGTAACGGTTTACAATCCACCATAAAACAATCATTGAATTGAGTTTTTATAGATGGGACTGAGTATTGTGTAAGCAAAGTTCTCTTAGTAAAGCAAATTAAGAGTAGTGACTAAACGCATAAGCATCTTAGCGGTGTGATCCTGTTGCATATTTGAGCGAAGTTCAAATATTTTGACATCATGAATCAGGTCAGTGCTCAAAATCAAGCATAAGTGGATTTGGAGGTTGTTTTGTTGGGGGGTTTTCAAATCTGTGTGCTGCTAAATGAAATGACCAGCAGTACTTCCTGCCACTCATTTTAAATTCTAGTGTTCTATGATGCCAAAGATTCAACTGTGAATATTTTTTAGTTATTTCTGAAGTCAATACTTGCTGTTCCAAATCTCAGCTAAACACTGGGAGAGACTTTAAACAGCATCACCCAGGTTCAATGGCATAGATGCACAAATCTGTCAATTATCTGTACGTTGTAGGTTTGGTATTCTCGCTGGAGGGTCCTCAATTCTGGAGCTTGCACTTCGCCTCCCCACCCCCATTTTCCCCCAATGCACAGACCTACCTTGGAATGGCAGAGCCCAAATCTGCAGCTATTTGAAATCTGAGAAGTAGACTTTCACTTGTGTTACAGGAAGCCACAAGGAAGTTACATTTTAATGCATTAGCAGGCACTTGAGTAAAAGCTGGATGTACTTTGTGCAAACTCTCAATATTGAAGAACCATTATATGAATAGATAACTTGGAGAGATAACATCCCTTATTCAGAGAGCTAACCAGAAATGACAGGACAAAGGAGGAGGAGATATCTTGTTCTTCTCCAATCAGAATGATTGATTGTGTGCTTTTTTTATTTGCACTAAGTGATGTGACAGAACACACCTGATTATGCATCACACAGCTTTCATGTCCTCCCTTTGGTTAATTATAACTAAGCATTTAAGTGACAACACTTATTTAATCTAGTAAGATTTAAACATAATCAGAACTGTCACATACATTATGCATTACATGCAACTATATACATTTGTCAATAACAGTAATTTCTAACTGATGGGATAAATGATTTAGGAATTTGTTTGATAGATATATTATAATTTTTCACAAATATAAACAGTTTTATTACTACCTTGAAGTTTACTGATTCCTTTTTTTTAATCTGATTTAAAAAAAGTAAGTAAACTGTAGGAGTAGTCATACACTTGAAATGAAGGATAATGAGCAAAGTATACAATGCAACTATTTTTAGCATACATTTTAATTTGTTTGCATTTTTCTTAAGTGGCAAATCTATCTTTGGAACTACCTGATTGGTTAGTGTAATAAGTGTGCTAGAGCAGTGATTAGCTCATTACCTTCTGCAAAGTGGCATAATTTAAATGGATCAATTGTCTTTTTAAATGTTAATTTAAGTTATACAACAGCAGTTTATTCTCTTCATTAACTATTTTACAAGAGAGGCAAGCTAAGTATACCTATTGTGACAGACCCAGACCAGTGGGGTACAGGAGTCTGGTAGAGGGCAAATATACTGGTCACTGGATGAGTAGTTTTCTGTTCCCTGAGTGACCAGAGCAGGGGCTGCACTAGAGTAATCAGGAACCGTCTAGAACCAGTTAAGGCAGGCAGGCTAATTAGGACACCTGGAGCCAATTAAGAAGAAGCTGCTAGAATCAATTAAGGCAGGCTAATCAGGGCACCTGGGTTTTAAAAGGATCTCATTTCAGTTTGTGGTGTGAGTGTGAGGAGCTGGGAGCGAGAGGCGCAAGGAGCTGAGAGGGTGTGCTGCTGGAGGACTGCAGAGCACAAGCGTTATCAGACACCAGGAGGAAGGTCCTGTGGTGAGAATAAGGAAGGTGTTTGGAGGAGGCCATGGGGAAGTAGCCCAGGGAGTTGTAGCTGTCATGCAGCTGTTACAGGAGGCACTATAGACAGCTGCAGTCCACAGGGCCCTGGGCTGGAACCCGGAGTAGAGGGCGGGCCCGGGTTCCCCCCAAACTTCCCAATTGACCTGGACTGTGGGTTCTTCCAGAGGGGAAGGTCTCTGGGCTGTTCCCCAACCCACATGGTGAATCTCTGAGGCAAGAAAATCCACCAATAAGCGCAGGACCCACCAAGATAGAGGAGGAACTTTGTCACACTATGTAGAGGGGCTTGAATTAATGCTGTACACTAATAGATTCAGAGAGAGGTAATGCTTACTGTAAAATTGTTTGACAATATAATAACTATAAACCCTGTTTCTGTTTTTCCACAGTTCTTAGTGGCCTCTGTTCTAACGATTGTCCTAGTAAAATAACAGTAAGTATAATTATTTACATTGTTAATGAAATTAATATCTAGAGGGCCCAGTCTGAATGGGGCCCCTTTGTCCTGGTTGCAGTACAAACATACAAGAAACAGCCACAGCTTGGAAGAATTTACAGTCTAACTTAAGATACGGAGCAACAAGTGGATGTAACTGACTGAGGGAATGGGAGCGGAAGAGTAGGAGTAACATTAACAAGTACATCTGGTTCCCAAGACTGATTACATCCCAAATCTGCAGACTTTTTACAAATGACAATAAACAATTCCTATCAGTAATCACTAATAGCCACCCACCTAGCTATTATTAGTTGGCAGTTTTCCATATTCACAGTACAAGTGGTTCTTGAAGAGGAGCTTGAAGAAAGTAAAATTGTTTTTTTGTTTTTTTTTTAATCAGGTTTATATAATGTATAAGAATTTAATTTTGACAAGACATTGATTATACTGGTATATTTATGAGTCAAGAAATTGCTTTATATGGAACCAACTTTCCACCTAGATCTATTTACTTATTTAGGAGACATTTTGTGATATGAAATAACAAACCATTCTCACAATATTAAAAAGTCAGCTGAAGGAATAAAAAAGAGGGGATAACATCAGAAATGAACATTAATAAACAGATGTTGGGGAAAGTTTATTACTCACTGCCACTGTTACGGGGACTGCTCTACTCACAGCTCAGCGGTATCCTCCTTGTGGCTCATCCGGGGAATTAGCTCTTTCACCTGGTCTGATGCCCCTTCCTGTGGTTATGCAGTCTGTCATTCCCCTCAGCTACTCCATGGCCTCTCATGTGCGAGGAGCGGCAGCACTGTCCTCTTCAGAGCTTAGTCCTCTGGCTAAGTCACATTAAAGTTATTCCCCCTTCTGGGCGATCACAAATCCTTTGAAGTAAACTGTCCCAGGCAGTCTGCTGCCCACTGGATGGTCTGTGCCACTCCCCCAGTGGCTGGTAGGGGAACCTGGGCCCATCCTATACACCAGGTTCTAGTTCAGGGACTTTCAGCCAAGCAGCTCTGGGCTTTTACTCTCCCAGCCCTTACTACTCCTTTCCTGGACTGCTTCCTACTCTGTCCTTGCAGCTTCGTGCTCTTCCCCCATGTATCAGGGAGTGCCACTGCAGGTTTCTTCCCCCAGCCTGCCAACTTCCTCTCTTTTAGATCCTGCCCAGCTCCTCCCCCCTAGCTGGACTTCATCTGCAGTTAGGCCCTGCCACTTCCTAGATTTCTTCCAGCTGCAGCCTAAGGTTAATGGGCCTAATTTACCTCTGCAGAGCATGTGTGGGGTAGACACCCCATCACAGCCACTTAAATAACACTGAATGTAAATATAATTCCCCTACAAAAAAGTATTAGGAGCTGTTTGCTACAGTATAAGTAACTTTTTATGATAATATCAACATGAAACTCACCTTATATTTTCAGCTCTCATATGTGCGTCAAGGTTTTCCTTAATGTGTCTACTTCTCCTCACACCCATACTGTTCATAAGTGTTGCTCTGGTTTTGGTCACCTCCTTCTTCTTCTATGCCTTATTCTCATGACTTCAGCTACTGTCTCTGGGCTTGTCTACACTGCCGCTTATGTCAATGTAACTTATGTCCAAATTCCCGGCCATGAAAAACGTGTCACAGACCATGAAGTCTGGTCTTTTTTGTGTTTTTACCCTATATTATACAGATTTCACAGGGGAGACCAGTATTTCTCAAATTAGGGGTCCTGACCCAGAAGGGAGTTGCAGGGGAGTCGCAGGGTTATTTTAGAGGCATCGCGGTATTGCCACCCTTACTTCTGCTCTGCCTTCAGAGCTGGGTGACCAGAGAATGGCAGCTGTTGGCCAGGTGTCCACCTTTGAAGGCAGCACCACCAGCAGCAGTATAGAAGTAAGGGTGGCAATACCATAACATGCCACCCTTACTTCTGCGCTGCTGCCTTCAGAGCTGGGCGGCTGGAGAGTGGCAGCTGCTGACTGCAGAGCTGGGCCCTCAGGCAGCAGTGCAGAAGTAAGGGTGGCAATACCATACGATGCCATCCTTACTTCTGCGCTGTGAAATTGACCAAAATGGACCATGAATTTGGTAGGGCCTTACTTATGTCGCTCAGGGGTCTGAAAAAACCACCCCCCTGAGTGACATAAGTTACATAGACTTAAAGCCATGTCTACACCACACTGTCGGTGGGAGAGCTTCCACCTCTTATTGAGGAGTAATTACGTCTACGGGAGAGCGCTCTCCCGTCAACATAGCACATCTTCATCAGACGCACTGCAGAGGTGCCACTGCAGCGCGGTAGTAAAGACAAGCCCGAAGTGTAGATCACTGCCAAATTTCCCTCTGTCTTCTCCCTTTCTGTTCAGTCTTACATCTGCAGCTGTCTTTCTGAGAGATCTCTTGCTGAATGTTAGTGCATCAGCTTACACTCAACATAGTAAAAACCAAACCTTCTCATCTGCCTCTCTTAAACACCATTTCTCCATTTCCTTTCCTGTGTACGCAAATATGATGGATAATTCAACAGTTTTTCCCATTCCTCCTCCAAACTCACTTGTTAACATTCATCATACAATGATCTACAAATCCCTTTCAGTTTTCTATAATTACTTTATCATTATTTTAACACCTTCTTTTCTCCCTCAGAAGACAACATTAAGCATCAAATTTTAAAATTTTACACATTGGCATTTGACAAACTTTTGATCAAGTAGCATTTATTGAGTAAATAAAACAACAGTAATGAATAAATGCTAATAATTTTTAAGCTACTGTTTGCATGTACAGTTTCAGACAAAGCTTTGACATTAGAGAAATCTGAGAAAGCATTAAACACTGGCTGTGAATTTTCAGAAGGAAGTAATTTTCAACTCCTTTGAATTCCTAGTCTGTTGCTTGATTGCACTTGTAACTTTTCAGGAAATTAATTATTCACCCTTATATAGTGTAATGTCTTTTTGGTTATTAACAACAATAATTTTCATGCCTGTCAAAAGGGATGTAAATCCCCCGTTGTCTGAAAAACTGAACTAAACCTTAACTATGGATCTGCTACCAATGCTATCGTATTAATGCATAAAATAGTTACATAAATGTGCCCACTGCAACCTTTATATAATTGGGTCTTTGTCCAGCTAGCTGGAAGAAAAGGGGCATTGCCCCTTTAAAGGCTCCCTTACAGCAGGTGGGGAGAAGGGGGAAAGTTTACAGGGATGGACAGGAAGGGCAGGAAGCAGTTGGGGTGACATTAGGACAAGATCTCTGTATTACCTTTCCTACTGACTAAAAGATGGGGGTGGTATTTATACCCCTGGCAGCCTTGTAGTGGCACTCTTTACCAGGATTGGGTTGACAGCACCCAGACACCTGTGTACATGACAGAAGGACTGGGTTCCCTTTTTTACCTGCTGTGGCTATTACGCTTGTTGCCCCTCTTCCTTGGGAGACTGGGAAGGAATTTTGCCCTTACTGCCAAATTGGCCCGAGTGGATAGTTTTTTTTCCTTCCCCACAGCTGGTCTGGGACCCAGTGGGGTGGAATAAGGGGGTTAGGTTATAACATAGCAACTTAACACACAAAACTTGTGGCAGATGTCCAGTGCAGGTACTCGGTATGGAAGGGATATGGTTATTGGATAAAATGGATTGGAAAAGGATTTGAAGGAAAGCCTCTCTTAAGGGAGCTTGAGTAATGGAGAGGTTAAAGCCGGTGGGGGAGGGTTTGAGGCGCCTACATCTTGTCAGCAGGAAGCCAACCTGCTTCCATTTCCTAACCTATTTTCAGGGGGCTGAGGAAGGGAGATTGGGGATCCTGTGTCTTGAACAGCAGGGAGTCAACCATCTCCTTCCTGCAGTGTACAATTTGTTGCTAGGTACTCCCAGATAGTATAAGTCAGGGGTGGCCAACCTGTAGCTCCGGGGCCACATGCGGCTCTTCAGAAGTTAATATGCAGCTCCTTGTATAGGCACTGACTCCGGGGCTGGAGCTACAGGTGCCAACTTTCCAATGTGCTGGGGGGTGCTCACTGCTCAACCCCTGGCTCTGCCACAGGCCCTGCCCCCACTCCACCCCTTCCCATCTCCTCCCCTCAGCCTGCAATGCCCTCGCTCCGAGCCTCCTGCATGCCACAAAACAGCTGATCGGGAGGTGCGGGGAGGGGGGGGGCTGATTGGCAGGGCTGCCGGTGGGCAGGAGGCGCTGGGAGTGGGCGGGGGAGCTGATGGGAGGTTGCTGACATATTACTGTGGCTCTTTGGCAATGTACATTGGTAAATTCTGGCTCCTTCTCAGGCTCAGGCTGGCCACCCCTGGTATAAGTGAATAAAGTTGTGGCCTCGTTAAACCACATCAATGGCCTCATGTCTTTCTTCCCATGTGGACAAACACAGAAGAAGTCTTAGTTCAGCAAGGACAGTTTAAGGAAGTTTACTGAACTCCCCCAGCCCATTTGCAACAATAAGCTCTATTGTAGAGTACAGCTTCAAAATAAACCTGAACTTGCTTTTTAAGAAATCAATTTGAAAATCATATCAGGTCCAATTTATGAAACTGCTTTTAGATAGATGTGCCTGACTGATCCTAAGGCTCTATTGCAGTTGAAACATTTGCCTCCGATTTATCCCTTTTTGACTTTCTTTGAGGTTCACATGATTTGAATGGCTATTTGTATTCTTTACCTTCACAACTGCATTGACAGCTGAAAAAGATATAAAAAGTGCACTTTGCCGTTACTTCTCCTTCTGACTTGCATTCACTTTTTAAATTATTGTAAGTCCCTAGAAATGTTTGTCATATTGATTTTTACTTCAGATTATTTTCATTATAGTAGAAAGTGTCTGTGCCTTTGCCTAGTACTACAGATAGTACCAAAAAACAATTTCAGTACCTATATGCATGTATTTTAAGCAGTTGTTCTTCAAACCAGATCATATGTATTTAATACTTTAGGAAACTTGACTGAATATTGTGGAGTTCTGAGCTAAAACATTCCTTTATAATTAATTCCTCTGATTTTTTTTATTTTTTATTGTAAAAACAAACTTAATTTAAAAAAAAAAATGTTACAGTCCACTTTCAGATAAGAGGTAAAGGCTCCTGGCCCAGTACTTACTGCCACCAATGCGTTTCCCATATTGGTGGCTTCCTTGGAACCTTTGGGATGTTCCTCAGTCTGCAAGGTCCCGCTCTACGTCCTAGACCAGAGCAAGATCACTAGTGGTCTCAGAAATCCAGTGTGCTGAGTTCAATCTTTACAGAGTGGGGCATTCTGATTATCGGCCTCTTTGCAATGAGAGACAAGAAGTGCCATCAATTTTGCTCTCAAGCAAGTCTCAGCCCAGGCTCCCTAACCAATGCCTTCCAACTCAGTTGGGGATAGACTCTGAGATATGCCTTCCTCCTGATTCCAGTCATCCCACAGGTCATTCTTAAGCTGAAGTTGGATCATGCCAAACTAATTCCAATTGCCCCAGTTTGGCCAAGGCAATGTTGGTTCTCCAACCTTCTATCTGTTGATTCATCCTCTCAGATTTCTTCCTCTTCATCCTGACCTACTGACTCAGCACCACTGTTGAGTTTTGCATCAAGCACTGAACACTGTACAGCTCATGGTGTGGATGCTGCATGGCTATTTGAGGAGAAGGAACAATGTTTGGAAGCTGTTCAACAGTTGTGGTTTAGCAGCTGAAGCCATCTACTAGGGTGACTTTTTTGTCCAAGTGGAAGCAATTTTCAGTTTGGTCGCTTCCTCAAAGGATTCAGCTGATGCAGGCCTGCATTCAGAACATTTGGAGTACTTAGTACACCTTCAGTCATCCAGTCTCTCAATTCATTGAGGGTTCACTTAGCAGTGATCTCAGCCTTTCATCTACCTATCCAAGGGAGGTCAATTTTCTCAAATCCTGTGGTAGTGAGATTTCTCATGAGAATCATTAGTCTCCATTTGCCTGAGAAAGAACTGGTTCCCTTGTGGGACCTTAATACTGTCCTGGTTGCCCTTGTAAGACCTCAGTTCAAGCCCCTGGCAACCTGTTCTCTGTCACTTCTGTGCCAAAAAATGCCCTTTCTTGTGGCCAAATATATGCAAGGAGCATATGCAAGCTACAAGTCTTAATGCCAGAGTCCCTGTAGAGCCAGTTTTTCAAGGACAAAGAAAGTGGCCCTACTGCTGTATCCAAAATTATTGTTAAAAAGTGGTTTCACAGTTTCATCTTAACCAATTGATTTATTTACTGGTGTTCTTTCCTAAACCACACTGCAGTGCAGATGAACATTGAGTTCACATGTTGGATTCAAGAAGATGTTTGGCATTTTACCTAGACAGAACTAAGCCTTTTTGGGCATCACCTCTTCTGTTTATCTTCTATGCAGATCAAATGAAGGGTCAGTCTCTGTGTAAACAGTCTCCAGGTGGATAACTTCCCACATTTCATCAGCATATGAAATAGCTCAGACCATGCCTCCACATAGATTGCAGGCTCATTCGATGAGGGCCCAACCTACATATATAGCATTCCTCAGTGATTTTTCAGTGAACAATTTCAGGGCTCCTACCTGGTCTTCTACACATACTTTTATCAGACACTATGTGATTACCATTGCATTTAGGTCAGATGTAAACTTTAGGAAGGCAGTCCTGCAAGCATTCTTTAAGTAGACTCTGAACTACACCTCCTGTGAGTGCTGTTTATGGATCACCAGAGTGGAATACACGTCTAAAACCCCTTGAAGAAGAAAAGACTGTTACGTACCTGTATTGTAACTTGTTCTTTGAGATGTGGGTACAGACGTGTATTCCATGACCTTCCATCCTCTCCACATCAGTCTCTACTCCTGACACTCAGAATGAAAGAATTCAGGGTGGCGCTGCCTTTAAATAGCCTGGGGAGAGACTAGAGTCAAATGGTGTGAGCACCACCTGTATGGGTACTGCTAGGCAAAGTCTTCTGGTTTCAGTGCCTAAGTGTGCGCACACCTGAGTGGAATTACAGGTCTGCACCCACATCTCGGAGAGCAACGGTTACAGTATAAGTAACTGTCTTTTTCCAGCAGTCATCAGACCTATTTTTAGCTTGTCTGAACCAATGTTCCATTCTGATATTACCATTTAAAATCTTTTAAAATTAGAGTTTAATCAAACTAATGGTGAGTCCTTTGCTCAGGAGTTCAACCAGAGATCTACAGTAAACTAAGGGTACGTCTTCAATACCCGCCGGATCGGCGGGTAGCAATCGATCTATCGGGGATCGATTTATCACGTCTCGTCTAGATGCGATAAATCGATCCCCGAATGCGCTCCCCGTCGACTCTGGAACTCCACCAGGGCGAGAGGCGGAAGCAGAGTTGACGAGGGAGCCGCGGCCGTCGATCCCGCGCCGTGAGGACGGGAGGTAAGTCGATCTAAGATACGTTGACTTCAGCTATGCTATTCTCGTAGCTGAAGTTGCGCATCTTAGATCGATTTTCCCCCCCCTCCCCCCCAGCGTAGACGAGCCCTAAGTTTTATTTCTTTTTTTCTCTACAAAATGGCAGGAAAAAATTGAATTTTTGAACTCTGGTAAATACCTCAATTCTTGGGATGCCATAATTCAGTAATACCTTCTTGAATTTACTTCCAACTTGAAAAAAAAATTAAACCTCAGCCCCAGATGTGGCCTATCAATTTTGAAGCCTGTATTCCTTTGTTTGTGGATTTTAGGGGGTCAGGATTACACAAAATCAGATTACAATAGAATTCAGTTGCAGCCTTACTTATGGATTAGCTATCACCACTCCATATGTCTCACCGAGAAGGTATTCAAATTGTCAAATAATTTGAATAATTTATAAGATTTTGTTCTGTAAAATATATATGTATGATTTTAGTCCCGATGAGTTATTGCTGTCAAGGCAACCATACTTAAGACTGAAACGGTGAAAAGACCTTATATAGTGATTGCTAGCATGTTATTTTGGCTAATGGACAAATAGCTCAAAATTACGTCCTTTACAAGAAAAAGGTCAAGTTGTTTGGTTTCATTTTGGGGAAAGAATTTAAGATAGATTCTAATAAGATTGTTTGTACAGTCTGTGACTTTAAACCCTAGATGATCAGCTCATTTAAGTTCTGTCACTGGTTTCTACAGTTCCATCAAACTGTCAGGTTGGAGTCAATCCTTCCCTTTACATTTGCAGTAGTTGATGAAACAGCATCAGTACTGGAAACACAGTTTTCTGCATCATTGACTAAAAGCATCTGAAAATGATGCAGAATGTTCCAAACTTGGCTTTTACATGAAACTGACTGGATTCATTGTTTCATTAGACTGCATTTAGTCAAATCAACCACAACTAAAGGTGCTATGATGCAGTGAGCACTTGATAGAGTGAACACTTTTACACACTATCATTTTTAATCGTGTATAATAAAAGTATTTTTACAATAAAGCTTTTAGAAAAGTATGTTTAGAAATTAACTGAAAGGAGTATCATTACTTATAGATAACAAAGTGATTATCCTATTTTAAAAATGAATTCTACTTTAATATAGTAAAATAAGTGAATAGTTATCCACATCTAAGGTGTGATCTTAACAATGAAGCCACAGAAATTCGCCTTTAGTTTAATTTTATTATTTTAGCTGTGCTAATTCCTAAACTTGAAAAAAATAGAATCAAAGTTTGGATGTTTAATTTCATCTTTGTATTGCAGCCCTTTGGTGTGAATCAGCCTGGACCTTATATCATGTACACAACCGTAGATGCAAATGGGTATGCGAAAAATGGTTCAGGTAGGACCAGTATTTATTTCTTAATACATGTAATTATGATCTTTCTGCACATAATCATCAGCAACATATAGGAGGTTACAAAAAATCTACTAAAAAATTAAATGGGTCTGTTTGTTCCTGAACAGTTCTTCCAGTATACAAGGCACAAATACAGTATGTTTTCCATTCAGTTTTCATCGTGCATATTTATTGTAACCATTGTAATTACTTCCTTCCGTTTGTCCTATGCAAACAGAGTTGGGATAGCTTCCACTTTCTCTCAGAATCTGAGCGTGGGACAGCATCATGAAAAGTTTCATGAACTGAAGCTGTAAAAGATCAGGTTTCCTACTCATTATGTTGTAGTCATATTTATCAGGAGGTAGCGATGGGTTTGAAACTTTCAGTCAGAATCTTTATTTTTGTGGAATACCATGCACATGCTACTCACTAAATAAAATCATTTTGGTTAGCTTCTACATGTATGATGATTCATTTAACAAACACAATGTAGATTTTTATTTTTATTTTTTTGGTATTGTTCAATGCATGTTGTAGAATCGTTGAGCTTTTTAGTACTGGTGATTCATGTACTGTCTGCTAAGGTAAAATTTCCAAAATTGGATGCCTAAAGTTAACCATCTAAATCCATATCTAGCCACCTAAATAAGGGGCCTGATTTTTCTGAGGGGCTATGTACTTGTATCTCTCATTTAAGTCAATTTAAGTCACATTACCAGGTTCCAAATTAATTGTAACCAATCAGAAAAAAACAGGTGTCATTATGGCCACATCATGGAAAAACTGTGTAGCAGTTGAAATTAAACAAAATATTGGGACATATAAGGAATGGGTTATAATACTACAAGTATTATTATGCCATTATACAAATAAGTGGTATGCCCTCACCTGGAATACTATGTTCAGTTTTGGTTACCCTAACTCAGAAAAGATATAAGAGAAATAGAAGGGGTCCAGAAATGAGTGTCAAAAACATCTGCATGAAAAAAGATTGGTAAAATAGGGACTGTTTAGAGGAGAGGATGTGATATGGGTATAACCAAATGATGGGAAGTTATAAAGAAGGTAAATTCAGTACTTCTATTTACCCTTTAATTGAGTATAAGAGGACGGAGACATATAAAACTAAGATGACAAATTTAAAGCTGATAAAAATAAATACAGTACTTCCTTACACTTATCAAATTTGTGGACGATACCAAGCTGGGAGGGGTTCCAGGTGCTTTGGAGGATAGGATTAAAATTCAAAATGATCTGGACAAACTGGAGAGATGGTCTGAAGTAAATAGGATGAAATTCAATAAGGACAAATGCAAAGTACTCAATTTAGGAAGGAACAATCAGTTGCACACATACAAAATGGGAAATGACTGCCTAGGAAGGAGTACTGCAGAAAGGGACCGGGAAGTCATAATGGACCATAAGCTAAATATGAGTCAACAGTGTCACACTGTTGCAAAAAAAGCAAACATCGTTCTGGGAGGTATTAGCAGGAGCGTTGTAAGCAAGACACAAGAAGTAATTCTTCCGCTCTACTCCACGCTGATTAGGCCTCAAATGAAGTATTGTGTCCAGTTCTGGGTGCCACACTTCAGGAAAGATGTGGACAAATTGGAGAAAGTCCAGAGAAGAGCAACAAAAATGATTAAAGGTCTAGAAAACATGACCTATGAGGGAAGATTGAAAAAATTGGGTTTGTTTAGTCTGGAAAAGAGAAGACAGGGGGACATGATAACAGTTTTCAAGTATATAAAAGATTGTTACAAGGAGCAGGGAGAAAAATTGTTGTTCTGAACCTCTAAGGATAGGACAAGAAGCAGTGTGAGGTTTAGGTTGGACATTAGGAAAAATTTCCTAACTGTCAGGGTGGTTAAGCACTGGAATAAATTGCCTAGGGAGGTTGTGGAATCTCCATCATTGGAGATTTTTAAGACCAGGTTAGACACCTCTCAAGAATGGTCTAGATCAGAGGTTCTCAAACTGTGGTCCGTGGACCACTAGTGGTCCGCGAGCACCATTCAGGTGGTCAGTGGATGTTTCCCTCTAAGGTGTGTGCCTGGGTGGCCGCACATGAGAGAATGAAGGGCCACCCACCTAATTAGTGGAGCCGCGCAGGTGTGGCTCCACTAATTAGGTGCCTGGACCATGGAGAAGACGCACATGTAAGGTGAGGTGGTGGCCTTGGGGAGAATAGGGGGTAGGTGGGAGGGGGCAGTGGGGTGAGAAGAAGGGGGGCGGAAATTTGGGACGTGCAGAGCTGCAGTGGCCAAAGAGGTGACTTTCCCCAGCTCCAGGGCTGCGGCTGCCAGGGATAGGTGGTCCTCCTTCCCAGCCTCAGCTCTGTGGCTGCTGTGGCAGGGGAGAGACCCCCCTCCTTCCCAGCCCCAGCTCAGGGGCTGCTGCGGTGGGGGGAGAGAGGGCACATCTATCACATTAGAAAGGTAAGAGTACTGATATTAAAATATGAGTTGTGTGCTTTTATTTGTAGAACAAAAAAAGTTGTTTATTATTAAGGATTTTTTTTTATATAGCGCTTTTATCCAAAGCATTTTACAATAGTTAGCTAATGGTACAAACAACATTTGGAAAGATCATTAAGAGGTCTGCTGAGACCCTCAGCAATTTTCAAGTGGTCCGTGGGGAAAAAAAGTTTGAGAACCACTGGTCTAGAAAATACTTAGTCCTGCCATGAGTGCAGGGGACTGGACTAGATGACTTCTCGAGGTCCCTTCCAGTCCTATGATTCTATGATCATACATAATTAACCTGTGGAACTCATTGCCTCATTGTGACGAAGAGCTTAGTAAAATTTTAAAAAGGACATAGACACTAGTATGGTCAAGAGAACATCCATCATTTCAATAGATAGAATTTAAAAATAGTTTTTTATGATCTATATAAATCTTCATGCTAAAAGGTACAAGTCAAACACTAACGTATAGAGCAGGGATAGGCAACTTATGGTACGCATGCCAAAGGCGGCACGCGAGCTGATTTTCAGTGGCACTCAAAGTGCCCGGGTCCTGGCCACCGGTCCGGGGGGCTCTGCATTTTAATTTAATTTTAAATGAAGCTTCTTAAACATTTTAAAAACCTTATTTACTTTACATACAACAATAGTTTAGTTATATATTATAGACTTACAGAAAGACACCTTTTTAAAACGTTAAAATATATTACTGCCACACGAAACCTTAAATTAGAGTGAATAAATGAAGACTCGGCACACCACTTCTGAAAGGTTGCTGACCCCTGGTATAGAGGAGGAAACTTCTTCTATGGGCAGGTTATTCCATAGTAGTCCACTGTGAGATTTCTTGCACCTTCCTCTGAAACACTGTCTTAGACAGGATCCTGGACTAGATGGACCACTGGTCTGATACAGTATGGCAGTTTCTGTTTTCCTGTATGCTTAAATATGGATTTAGGTGCCTTACTTTAGACAAATTAAATTTGAAAATGTTAGCCTACATTTTTAATGAGATGAAGTAATATTTCATGCTAATTCAAAATTCCTTCCTAATACACAGTAGGAATTCATCTTAACTAGTAAATCATTCTGCCAGTGTTTTTCATTTCCGATCTTCATCACTGCAAAGCAAGCTTCATGACCTGAATCTGAAAAAGAGCTCTTACATTCTGCTACAAGCATTCAAAACTCCATGATGAGTTCAGACACTTTTTCATTTAATTTTACACTAACATACTGTATTAAAATCAGACCATGCCCTAAGGGGATAATTTCTCATTGACTGACAACTTGCATCTCTAATTGTTGTCCTCTATCAAGTTTAAAACTTGAGAGGCTTGTCAAAGCTCTCTGAGTTGTAGTCCACCTCATATCAGTCACACTTGAAGACATTGGTAAATCTTAAATATAGAGTTACCTTACTCTTCTTTAAAGCCATTTTGGCTCAGCATAAGTTTTTAAGAAGGTTGAATGCTGCATTGTCTGTTACTTTTTTTCACACTGGACTGCCTTATTCTTCCCATCTTGTCTAGTTGGTGTCTGGATGTCTTGTCTTTTGTGTTTGCATTACTCAGAAGCAAGTATAGGACATGGAAGTTAGGGATATTAAGATATATATTGTTAAGATAGTGTTAAGAGAGATATTTTTAATGATTGGCGTTTTCATTGTGTTTTGTTGCCAACAAACATTTTTGGTCTTGTGTGCTTAAAATCTGAATGTTGTCTTTGGCAAAAAAATCTATTTTTTCCATCTTTTCTGAAAACAGCTTGGAAGGTAATTACATCTGGCCATATGTTTTACTCGTCTTTTTGTTGTGTGGGTATCTCCATCTGTTACACAGAAACGTGGAAGTAAAGATGAAGGACTGGAGTCTACTAATAGGCACTTCCTGTAGTTGTTAATTGAATACTTTTTGTTGTCCAGTATATCTGTTGTGCTATGTGAGACTAGCCTTTTAGTCTCCAGAAATGTGGACTTATTTATAACATTTCCTTTTGAGAATTAATTTCTAACTGAGGTTTTTGAAAATATTATCCCTAGATTACATCATTAAAGTTAGGTCACTGTATTGGTTAGGTCAGGACCCAAGTCAAAAAAAACTAACAGTTATGCAGTGAAGTGCAGTATATTTGCTTCCTGATGTGCACTGAGGCAAAAAGTCTTTATTGAGCTATGAATCAACTTCTTCATTAAGTGCCAGAGGACATGTGACCAAGGAATATATAACCATACTACTTCGTATTTTCAGAGAACTAAGACTGCAGATAAGTAACTCTCCTTTCTTTAGCAAACAGTTGTGTATTTCATGAGGGGAAAAAAAGATTAGCAAAAACCACCAATCTGAGCAGCTTTATCTCCTTTGGGGGGCGAGGTGTGCTATAAATCAAATATACCACAACATAATATTTCTTTAGATTTAATTATACTCATTTGGGTCAGTTGTTTATCCAATCATGGGTCTTTCTCACTCTGTTGCTTGTGACTAATAATACAGTCAGCACAAACTCAGGTTAACAAATCTAACATTGC